GTGAGGCCAGCCAGATAAAAATAAGAAAACTACAGGCTAATTTCTCTTATGCATATACATATTAAAATCCTCAACAAAATGCTGGCAAACTAAATACAGTAGCATATTAAAAGAATTATACATCATGACCAAGAATGATCTCCCCCACGCCCTGGAATGCAAGGATGGGTTCAATATATAAAAATCAATGTAATATACTACATGAGCAGAATGAAGAGGAAAAAACATGGTAATCTCGATTGAATTCAAAAAAGCCTTTGATAAAATGCACACCCTTTCATGATAAAAAAAAAAAAAACCCTCAATAAACTAGAAATAGAAGGGAACTTCCAAAACATAATAAAGGCCATATATGAAAACCCCACACTGACATCACACTATATGATGAAAGATTGCGAGTCTCTCTCCTAAGATTGGGAATAACACAAGGAAGCTCACTACCAACATGTCTATTCATCACCATACTAGAAGTTCTAGCTAGAGCAATTAAGCAAGAAAAACAAATAAAAAGCCTCCAAATTGGAAAGAAAGAAGTCTAGTTCTCTCTACTACCAACATATGATACAATCTTATACGCAATATGTAGAAAACCCTAAAGAATCAAAAAAAAAACAAAAACAAAAACAAAAAAAACCCCACCCTGGTAAAGCTAATAAAAAAAAATCTGGCAAAGTTGCAGGATGCAAAATCAACACACAAAAATCAGTTGCATTTCTATGCACTAACAATGAGCAATCTAAAAAGGAAATACAAGCAATCCATTTCAACTAGAACCAAAAGGACTAAACTCTTTAATTTAACCAAGAAGGTGCAAGACTTGTACACTAAAAGCTGCAAGTGTTGCTGAAACAAGACACAAATAAATAGATATCCTATGTTCATGGAGTGAATACATTTAATAATTAGGATGTCAATACTACCCATGGCAACCTAAAGACTCAGTGCAACTCCTAGTAAAATCCAGTAGTTTTTTTTGCAAAAACAGAAAAGCCCGTTCTAAACTTCACATGGAGTCTCAAGGGTCCCCCATAACCAAAACAATCTTGAAAAAAAAAAAAAAAAAAACTAAGTTGGAAGTCTCATCTTTCTGTTTTCAAAACTTACTACAAAGCTACCCTAATCAAAATAATGTGGTAGCAACATGAATACAGACATACGGACCAAAAAATAGAATACAAAGCTTAGACATAAGACCTCATAAATATATGACCAAATGATTTTTAACAAGAGTGTAAAAACCATTCAAAAAGGTAAGGACCATGTTAGCCGGGATGGTCTCAATCTCCTGACCTCATGATCCGCCCGTCTTGGCCTCCCAAAGTGCTGGGATTACAGGCGTGAGCCACCGCGCCTGGCCAGGACAGTCTTTTCAACAAATTGTGTTGAGAAAACAGGAAACACATGCAAAAGAATAAAGTTGGACCCTTACCTTACAAGCATATATAAAATATAACTCAAAATGGATATAGCAACCTAAATGAAGATCTAAATGAAGAGATAAATCTAGGAAACTTAAAAAAAAAAACAGAGGGAAGCTGCTTCATGACATTTGGCAACAATTTCTTGGATATGACATGAAAGGCATAGGCAAAAACAAAAAAACACTAACTGGATAATGAAAATTAAAAAATTTTGTGCATCCAAGGACATTATCAAGAAAGTAAAAGGGCACTCTACCTGGCAGCTACTTTTTTTTTTTTTAAGTAAGACAAAAAAATAAAAATAAAAGAAAGTAAAAGGGCAACCCACAGACCAGGAGAAAATACTGATAAGGGACTAATATCCAGAATACATAAAGAACTACAACTCAACAAGAAAAATAAACAACTGCAATAAAAAATGGGCAAAGGACTTAAATAGACATTTCTCCAAAGATGATATACATGTGGCCAATAAACACATGAAATGATACTCAACATAATTAATCACTGAAGAAATACAAACCAAAACCCTGATGATGTATCACTTCAAATCCACTTCAAACTATATTCCTTGGTGGTATGCCACTTTAAAATATATTTATTTTATATATTAAAAATATAGTAACAAGTGTTGACAAGAATGTGGGAAAACCAGATTCCTTGTATTTTGGTGGTGAGAATATAAAATGGTACAGCTGCTGTGAAAGACAGAATGGAGGTTCCTTAAAAAACACAACATTGGGCCGGGCGCGGTGGCTCACAGCTGTAATCCCAGCACTTTGGGAGACTGAGGCAGATGGATCACCAGAGGTCAGGAGTTCAAGACCAGCTTGGCCAACATGGTGAAACCCTGTCTCTACTAATAATACAAAAATTAGCTGGGCATGATGGCACACACCTGTAGTCCCAGCTACTCGGGAGGCTGAGGCAGGAAGGCTCTTGAACCTGGGAGGCGGAGGCTGCAGTGAGCCAAGACTGCACCACTGCACGCCCAGCCTGGGCAACAGAGTGAGACCCTGTCTCAAAAAAAAAAAAAAAAAGACATATATATATATATATATATATATAAAATTTCCATATGATCCAGCAATTCCACTTTCAGATATATACCCCAAATAATTTAAAGCAGGGAACTAAATATTTATATACCTATATTCATAGCAGCATTATTTATAATAGCAAACAGAATAATTCACATTATTCACAAAATAAAATATTGTTCATCCTTAAAAAGAAAATTCTGATATGTGCTACAACATAGACAAATCTAGAAAACATTAAGTGAAATAATCCAGACACGAAGGGACACATGCTGCAGGATTCCACTTATGTAAGGTATCTAGAATAGCCAAATTCATACAGAAAGTAGAATAGTGGTTACCAGGGGATGGGGAGGAGAAAGGAAGGAAAAAATGGGGCGTTATCACTTAACTGGTACAGTTTTAGCTTAAGAAAATGAAAAATATCTGGAGATGGATGGTGGTTATTGCTGACCAACCATGTGAACGAGGGGAAGGGAAGGGAGGGGAGGGGAGGAAAAGGAAGAAAAGACAGTTAGTTAGTGGTGCCAGGGGGCCTACAATAAGGTTATCAGTTCCAAAAAAAACTTTGCAAACACAATGGGTTGGCAAAGGTGTAGTCAGTCAGTCTGTTAAGGCCAGTACTGTCAAAGTTAAAAATCTAACTCACTTCATGCCAGCAATTCAATCCTAGTCATTCATCCTGCAGATATACACAAGTACAAAATGATACATACACACACACACACACACACACACACAGAGGTTATTCACTGCAGCATTGCTTTCAATAGCAAAAAAAAAGAAGATGATCTAAAGGCCTATGAGTAAAGGACTGGCTAAATAAACTACGGTACAATATAATACTATACAGCCATGAAAAGAGTAAGACAGCAAGCTGCCAAAACAAAAAGCAAAGAAAAAAAAGTGTGCCTACAATTTGAGTGGATGTGTACAGGGTGGGGTGGGAATGCCTAAGTCTATAGCTGTAAATGCACAGAATATCCCTGGAATAATGAGTAACATATCGATAATAACGATGCCTCCAGAGAGGTAAACTGGATGTTAAAGAACAAGAAAAGGAAGCATAGTTATTTTTTAATAAATATCCTTTAGATTTTATATCATGTCCATACATAACCTAGCAAAAAAATAATTTTTAAAAAAGCCCATCTTGTGAATGACCTGATGCACCTCATATACAATTTTTCTTCTCCTATCACTTAAAAAAGAAAAGAAAAGAAAAAAAAAAGCTGTATTCAGTGCTAACAATGTCTTATCACCCACTTTCTTCTGAAATCTGCCTAAAAATGTATTCCTAAGACAAGATTTTCTTTAGAATGCTCTGTGAGATAACAGACATTACAAGTTAAAAGTTTCTCAAAATCAAGTAAGTTTGGGAACCACAATATTAAACAAAACTAAAGGGATATTTTTCATTACAGGGCTTCTAAGTAATGTGCCTATGTGCATTGGACTCTCTGGTAGAGGGAAAAGCAGAGTGCAGTGATCTACAAACTTACTTGATTATGTTAACAACATTGCCTCTAGGTCACCACTCATCCAATGCTTCCCCTCAACCTTCACATCCAATCAGTTGCCAAGTCCTATCAGGCTCAGAAATTCTCCCTGCATCTGATCTCTTCTCTAAGCCCACAGCCATTACCCTGGTTCATGATCTTATCCCTTTATGTCCACCCTTCCATTTAGTAAAAATAACTTTGTCGTAAAAATGAAGACTAAGTATGCATTTTTTAAGACAAAAGTAAAAATAAGATAAATGTGTCAGATACAACTCTGAACAAAAGATACATGGTAAAATAATTCTCCCAGTATTCAAAAGTAGATTACAGAGACATGCAGAAACAAAATTACCAAAAACATATCTATACTGTAGAAATCTCTGATTAAATCCTGGTCTTCTCACTTGGTCTCACTGAAGATGTACTCTTTTCTAAAAAATAAAAAAACTGCTCTCTAACCTAAAAAAGAACTCACAAGTATTTAGAGTAAAACTTTTAAGTTCATGTGAAATACATTAATCCCTAATTTGTAACACTAAAAATATTTTAAGAAGTTCCTATTTCAGCAAAAACAGAGTAATAAGATACTAAAAATATTAAATAATCTAAAAGAGGACAAGAAAGGGGAACAAGAGGAACAAAAACGGTGGGAGAATGCTAAACCTAAATCCAAACATATTACACATTAAACGTAAATGGTCTAAATACATCAATTAAAAGACTGAAATTATCAGAATGAATTAAAAAGGAAAGGTCCATGCTGTCTATAAGACACTCACTTTAGGCAGGGTGCAGTGGCTCACGCCTGTAATCCTAACACTTTGGGAGGCCAAGGTAGGCAGATCACTTGAGGTCAAGGGTTCGAGATCAGCCTGGCCAACGTGGTGAAACCCCATCTCTACAAAAAATACAAAAATTAGCTAGGCGTGGTGGCACTCGCCTGTAATCCCAGCTACTCAGGAGGCTGAGGTGGGAGAATCACTTGAACTTGGGAGGTGGAGGTTGCAGCGAGTCAGTATCATGCCACTGCACTCCAGCCAGGGCAACAGAGCAAGACTCCGTCTCAAAAAAACAAAAAAAAAAGAAACCCACTTTAAATATGATATAGTTAGCATAAAAGTAAAAGAGATGGAAAAATATACACCATGCAAATACTAAACAAAAAAAGCTCAATGTATCAAATCCAGTAATATATGAAAGCAATAACACACCATGACCAAATGCGGTTCATCCAGGGAAGAAAAATCAATCAATATAATCCACATTAACAGATACAGAAGAAAAACTACAAGATCGTATCAATACATGCAGAAAATACATTTGACAAAATTCAACATCTTTTCATTTTAAAAATCCGCAAATTAGAAGCAGGCAGAAAGTTCCCTAAACTAATAGGGAGTATTAATTTTTTTAAAAAACCTACTGCTAACACCACATTTAACAGTAAAATACCAAATGTTTTCCCCAGAAGATCGGTTTCAAGACCAAGATGCCTACCTACTCTTACCACTCCTATTCAATATTATACTGCAGGGGCGCGGCAAGGAGAGACATGAGGCTGAGCTGGGTCCGGGTCCTGACAGTACTGTCCATCTGCCTGAGCGCCGTGGCCACAGCCACGGGGGCCGAGGGCAAAAGGAAGCTGTAGATCGGGGTCAAGAAGCGGGTGGACCACTGTCCCATCAAATCGCATAAAGGGGATGTCCTGCACATGCACTACACGGGGAAGCTGGAAGATGGGACAGAGGTTGACAGCAGCCTGCCCCAGAACCAGCCCTTTGTCTTCTCCCTTGGCATAGGCCAGGTCATCAAGGGCTGGGACCAGGGGCTGCCGGGGATGTGTGAGGGGGGAAAAGCGCAAGCTGGTGATCCCATCCGAGCTGGGGTATGGAGAGCGGGGAGCTCCCCCAAAGATTCCAGGCGGTGCAACCCTGGTGTTCGAGGTGGAGCTGCTCAAAATCGAGCGACGATCTGAGCTATAGCCAGACTGGGGAGGGGTAGGGGGAGAGGCCCCCATCAAGGACCAGACTGTTTCAAAAAAAAAAACTTAAAAGCCCAAAACAACAACAACAAAAAATATTATACTGCAAGTCCTAGCCAAGGAAATAAGGCAAGAAAAAGAAATAAAGTGTACACACATTGGAAAGGAATAAAAAAATAGGAGCTGTTTACAAAAGGCATGATTGTCTACATAGAAAATCCCATGGAATCTACCCCAAAAAAGTTCAGAGAACTAACTAATATGGTCAGTATGAATGGAGGATCCAATGTTAATTCTTTTTTAAAAAGAGTTATTTCTACATACTAGAACACTTGAAAAACAAAATTTTTAAATGCCATCATTTACAACAGCTTCACAATAGGTGAAACAAATATAAACCTAACAAAACACATATGATCTATATGCTCAAAAACTACAAAACTGATGAAAGAAGTCCTAAATACAGAGATACACTGTATTTACACGCTGGAAGTACTTACACACTGGAAGATTTAATAATTAAGAGATCAATTCTCCCCAAATTAGTGTGTTGATTTAGCACAATTCCAATCAAAATCCCACCAGGACTTTTTGTAAACATAAACGAGTGGTTTCTAAAACGTGTATGGAAAGCTAAAGGAGGTAGAACAGCCAAAACAATTTGGAAAGAATAAATTAAAACACCTGTACTACCAACTTTAAGGAACACATTTATAATGCTACCGTAATCAAAACAGATTGGCATCAGCAAAGAGACAGAAACATAGATAAAGAAACAGAATAGATGGTCCAAAAACACAACTATACAAAATGGCTCATTCATTTGTTTTTTAACAATTTAAGTAAGCTATAATTCACATGCCATACAATTCACCCATTTAAAATGTACAATTCGATGGTTTTCGTATATTCACAGGGTTGCACAATCATCACCAAAATCTGCGTTTTTATATTTTCATTGCCCCTAAAAATCTCTATACTCTTTAGCAGTCACTCTCCATTCTCTCCCATAGCTTCCTGGCCCTAAGCAGCCACTACTCTCCTTTGTTTTATAAATTTGCCTATTCTGAATATTTCATGTAAATGGAATCATACAATATGTGGTCTTTTGTGACTCCTTTAATTTATTCTAATGTTTTCAAGGTACATGTCTTTTTATTGCCAAACAACATTCCACTGTATGGATGTATGACACTTACCCCTTCATTAGTTGACAGACATTTGGGTTGTTACCATGTTTCGGCTATTAAAAACAGTGCTGCTCTTAACATTCATGTATAAGTATTTGTGGACATGTTTTTATTTCACTTGGGTAGAATACTATCTAGGTGTGGAACTGCTAGATCACAGTAAAACACAATGTTTAACTTGCTGAAAAATTCCAAACTGTTCTCCAAAGTGGTTTCCCACCAGGAATGAATGAAGGTTCCAATTTTTTCACATCCTCACCAACAAGTGTTACTGTCTTTTTTATTATAACCATCCTAGTGGGGTATCTAAGATGGTCTTGTTGCCAATTCATTTTTGACAAAGGTGCAAAGTCATTTCAATGGAGAAAGAACAGTATTTTCAACATAGTATTGGAGCAACTGGACATCCATATGCAAGAAAAATGAACCATGACCTAAACCCCACACTTCGAACAAAAATTAACTTAAAATCAATCAGATCTAATTGTAAAATGTCAAAGCATAAAACTTTTAGAAGAAAACATAGGAGAAAATCTTCAAGAACTAAGGTTAGGTAAAGCATTCTTAGATATGACACTACACATATGATCCATTAAAAAAAGCTAAAAGCTGGCCGGGCGCGGTGGCTCAAGCCTGTAATCCCAGCACTTTGGGAGGCCGAGATGGGCGGATCACGAGGTCAGGAGATCGAGACCATCCTGGCTAACACAGTGAAACTCTGTCTCTACTAAAAAATACAAAACCTAGCCGGGCGAGGTGGCGGGCGCCTGTAGTCCCAGCTGCTCGGGAGGCTGAGGCAGGAGAATGGCGTAAACCCAGAAGGCGGAGCTTGCAGCGAGCTGAGATCCGGCCACTGCACTCCAGCCTGGGCGACAGAACGAAACTCTGTCTCAAAAAAAAAAAAAGCTAAAAGCTGGACTTCATAATTAAAAACTTTTGCTCTGGAATGACACTGTTAAGAGAATGAAAAGATGCAAAGTGGGAGAAAATATTTGCAAATCATCTATTTAACAAAGAGCTTAAATCCAGAATATATTTAAAAAAAAAAAAACCTCTCAAAACAACAGTAAAATATACAACGCAGCAGGGTACGGTGGCTTACGCCTGTAATCGCAGCACTTTGGGAGGCCAAGGTGGGTGGATCACGAGGCGGGAGAATCACGAAGTCAGGAGTTCAAGACCAGCCTGATCAACATGGTGAAACCCCGTCTCTACTAAAAATACAAAAATTAGCCGGGCATGGTGGCACACGGCAGGAGAATCGCTTGAACCTGGGAGGCGGAGGTTGCAGTGAGCCGAGATCATGCCACTGCACTCCAGCCTAGGCGACAGAGCGAGACTCCAATTTAAAAAAATAAAATGAAATAAAATAACAAGAAAATATACAACCCAGGCCAGGTGCGGTGGCACACGCATGTAATCCCAGCACTCTGGGAGGCTGAGGCAGGTGGATCACCTGAGGTCAGAAGTTCAAGACCAGCTTGACCAACATGGTGAAACCCCATCTCTACTAAAAATACAAAAAAATAGCCGGGCATGGTGGCGCACGCCTGTAATCCCAGCTACTCAGGAGGCTGAGGCAGGAGAATTGCTTGAACCTGGGAGACAGAGGTTGTAGTGAGCCGAGATCACCCCATTGCACTCCAGCCTGGGCGACAGAGTGAGACTCCATCTCAAAAAAGATAAAAAAGCATATATAACCCAATTTTTAAAAATGGGCAAAAGAGTTCAACAGGTAAAAGAGGACACAAAGATAAAATAAGTGCATGAATCAATGCTCAACATCATTAGGCAACAACAAATTAAAACCACTATACACCTATTCAAATGGCTACACTTTTTAAACTGAGAATATCAAGGGCTGGTAAAGACGCAAAGCTACCACTCTCACACACTGCTGAAAGAGATGTAAATCATACAGTCACTTTGGAAAACAGCTTGGTAGTCTCTTAAAAACTGAACATACACTTATCATATGATCTAACAATCTCACTTGTAGGTATTTACCAACAGCAATAAAAATGTATGTTCGCACAAAAACCTGTACACAAAGGCTTACAGCAGCTCTGTTCCTCACTGCCAACAAATGGAAGCACCCAAATGTCCCTCAAAAGGTGAATGGAAAAACTGTTGTACGTGCATTTAATGGATATGCATGTAATGGAACACTCCTCAGCAATAAAAGACATGACTTTTAATATACAGAACCACCTGGATGAGGCGTTACAGCAAGTGAAGAAGCTAGTCTCAAAAGACACAGACCTGAGGTCTCAACCCTTAGAGGCAGCGATAGGGTGTGACCACCAAGGGGCGGTGTGAAGGAGGTTTTGATAGGAGCTGAGTCCTGAGAGCAGTATCTTGTATCCTATTCTGTGTCCTGACTGTGGTGCTGGTTAAACAAATCATGACACGTGTTGTAACTCAGACCTTCTCCAATTACCCTAGTCAACCATGATGTTGATGACTATGTGTTTAACTGGTTGTATTTCCTCTGCCTTAAGAAAAATAAAGTACCTTTTCTTAATAAATGTTAAGTACAACAATATACCTAAGTATTTCCTTCAGTTATTATAAATTATAAAACTATGTGAATAAAACAGCTTTATAGAATTTTTTTTTTTTTTGAGACAGAATTTCGCTTTTGTTACCCAGGCTGGAGTGCAGTGGCACAATCTCAGCTCACTGCAACCTCCATCTCCCAGGTTCAAGTGATCCTTCCAGCTCAGCCTCCCAAGTAGCTGGGACTACAGGCACACACCACCACGCCTGGCTAATTTTTGTAGAGACAGAGTTTCACCACGTTGGTTGCGCTGGTCTCGAACTCCTGACCTCAGGTGATCCACCTGCCTCAGCCTCCCAAAGTGCTGGGATTACAGGCATGAGCCACTGTGCCCAGCCCAGAATTTACTGTAATAGGAAATATGTACTTTGAAAATTATTTTAGATAAATATTGATCCCAAAAGTCACCTATGTTTGGTCACTTTCCAAAACCGTATTTAACTACTAGAAAGTGTTTTAACAAAACATGTTTCTCTACTCTAGAGCTCTATTCTATTGTAGTAAAAGTATTCCCATTAATATTTTAAGTTATAACTAATTATGATTTTTTTCACTGAAATATGAAAATCAACGTGAACAAACTTCAACAGGCTATGGATTCATTTCATAACATCAGAGCTACTTCAGTATATAAAGAGAGGCTTCGTCTTCAGTAAGGTCCTTAAGAAAAAAGTATGCCCATTCTCTTTCGCTAATATACATGACAAAAATAATGCAGCAAAGCCAAAAGATTTATAATTGCCAGAAATTACATACAGGCCTAACAATAAGATTCTGATTAGTGTCACAAAAGATCAAAATATATATCAATTATAAACTTATAGGAGTTGATTTGCAATTACAGTCTCCAAATATAGTTCCCAGAATTTCACTGAGTAAATGAGTTCTCTAGTACTCACTCATGTATAAGTGAAATCAAGTTCAGCTTTAGAAAACTCAGCTGTTTTCTGTCTAGTATGACCTTATTTATACAAAAGGATCTTCCCAACATTCATTTTCAAATACACATTTAACTGAAAGGTTAAAAAGCAGGTAGGGTGGATATTATACTGTCCGTCTAAATACGTATTCCAGAAATAACAACAGATTAGAAACTGAACCTAATTTTAAAATATAACTAAGCTAGAACCCAAGCTATCTCATCCAACTGCAAAATGTGTAGTGTGTGCTGTGTGTGTGTATGTAGGCTTCTATACACCTACAGATAATAGCACAGATAAACAAAACTCAAGAGCTGCCTTAATAAAGTGACGCAGAGAAATCAAACAACTGAAAAAGGATAAGCGTGCTGTTTTAGGTAGCAACTTTTCACACCTGGTCTCCTCTATCAAATGAAAATATGTTTTTTTCCCAAACCAAAAAGCATTTTAAAAAATTGTCTTCTTACGTAAACAGGTATTTCTCTTAGTTCACTAAGGAGAAAACACATTATTTCTGTGTACTGAAGTATTAAGTGCAAAAATAAGTCTGTAATAGCAACTAAAAAAAAAACAATTATAAAGTATAAAATGACTCCAATTTTTATGTCTTCCCAACTTCTAACTACAAAAATCACATAGTGACTTCGAAACTTTGTAACTTCAGAAAACATGCCAATGTAGGTGACATTTCCAATCCAGATGCTCCATTCTCTAACTCATTCTCAAATGTTGGTACTACTCAAACTACCTACAATTCAACAGAATCACAAATAGCCTGGATTCATAAATCATGGAAGGTAGTTTTGGTAAGAAACAGTCCTTCAGCTTGGCAATCTGTGAATGGATACATACACAACAAAGAAACATCATTTAAAATGGGTACCTACGTTCTTTCCGGTGCTCAACTAAACCTACAGCCTGCTTTGCTGAGCACTTTGCAAACCAGTTGTCCCCCAGTAAAACAGTGACTTCATTAGTATGGACAAGTTTTCCTGGCATGAAGGCAAAAGGGCCAAATGGTACCTATTGTTTAAAAAAAAGAAAAAAGGGAAAAAACGTAAAACACTGAAAAATACATTTTATAAAACATTTTGCATTAAAAGCCTTACATTAACACTGAATTTTTTTATTTATACATTGGTAAAAATAAAATGCCAGCTTCACAGAAATTTAACATTATATTAAAATTTTACTAGGAAAATCTACAGAAAATTGCTTTATGTTCATAAATCAATGTTAAAACAGGAAAATAAATCCACACCATATTTACATACAGCTCTTAAAGAAAGTAGTACTGTCTCAGCATGTTTATACTTTTCATTCACTTGCAAATCTAAATGAAAGCAACCAGTAGTGAAACACTGTCAATGCAAAATACTTCTGATAAAGAAAACTAAAAATTATTTTCAATAAAACAGCCATTTTTGCAAAGCAGGAATTAGTAAACAAACAGCTTTAATGGATCTACCTAGCTATATATACAAAATACTTGAACTAGTATAAAAGAACAAAGTCTTCATAAGAAAGAATATTCATGCAATGAAAGGTTCTAATCCAGGGCTCATGAACAGATCACTATGTCAATGTGAAGATCATTAAAACAAAAATTAGCAGCACGTTTTTATATAAAAATCAATGTCCTAAGGTTTAATTCTGTGAATTACAAAACATTATGGCCTATTCCTGCTCTGGCTAACAAGAAATGACTAAGTGCCATATTTCTGTCATAATTACATTTTTTATATAGTAAGTTTCCATTCGAAATATGTCCAATTTTGTGCTAATATTTATGTCATTTATGTCACCATGTATATTCTGGAAAAAAAAGGTAAATACCAGCGATCACTACAATTACTGTGTTCTTATAAAGTAAAACAAAACAAATCTTCCTTGCTACGTAGTTACCTCATACACAGCCATCAGCTTGGCATTCTGTGAACGAACACAGTTAATACGTTTACAAGAAACAACTATTACTTTAAAAGAAACACACCAAACATACCATTATATTATAAGACAATTTATCAGGCAAGGTGCTGAGTCTTTCTCGAAGGGCATTATAGTCATTATCTACTTTCTTCCTGTTGACAAAAAAAAAACACCAAATATACAAATTATTAATGATTTTTCTTTTCCTTTTTTCTTTTTTTTTTATTGTTTTTTTGAGACAGAGTGTTGCTCTGTCGCCCAGGCTAAAGTGCAGTGGCGTGATCTTGGCTCACTGCACCCTCCGCCTCCCGGGTTCAAGCAATTCTCCTGCCTCAGCCTCCTGAGTAGCTGGGATTACAGGTGTGCGCCACCATGCACAGCTAGTTTTTGTATTTTCAGTAGACACGGGGTTTCACCATGTTGGTCAGGCTGGTCTTGAACTCCTGACCTCATGATCCGCCCACCTCAGCCTCCCAAAGTGCTGGGGTTACAGGCGTGAGCCACCGCACCGGCCTCACTCAAAAGCTTTATTAAAACTGTTCTTTCGATAAGGTGTGGTGGCTCACGCCTGTAACCCCAGCACTTTGGGAGGCCCAGTAGGCCAGGTATCATAAAACAAGCTAATCAAAAACCTAATTTTAGCAAATTAAAGATTAATGTGGTTTTTAGTTTTAAAACCCTGTTTTTATAAAGTTTAGCAATGGCATTATTCTACCATACATTTATTGAAGAATTAAGACTCTTCAGGGACTTCGGCATTTAGAAGCAGAATACTCAAATTTTGAGAATTACTGTTTTTTAAGATACAAGACTCTGGACTAAATAAAATGCGAAAATTAAGGGAGACAGTAAAAGAAGGCCTGATGTTTGGAGAGAAGAAGGGACTCAAGATGAAGACAGAAGAAATTATTTATTTTAAAACAGTCTCTCTCTGTTGCCCAGGCTGGAGTGCAGTGGCACAATCTCAGCTCACTGCAACCTCCACCTTCTGGGTTCAAGTAATTCCCCTGCCTTGGCCTCCCAAGTAACTGAGACTACAGGCGCATGCCACCAAGCCCAGCTACTTTTTGTATTTTCCATAGAGATTAGGTTTCTTCGCCATGTTGGCCAGGCTGGTCTCGAACTCCTGGCTTCAAGCGATCCCCTCTGCCGCAGCCTCCCAAAGGTGCTGGGATTACAGGCGTGAGCCAACACACCCGGCCGAAAGAAGAAATTTAATAAAGCTTTTGAGTGAATAGATACTGGCTGTGAAGTTGAAATCATGAACATGAAATTTGATCAGATGCTTTAGTCCTCATCAGAAAACTTTAGACTGAAAAATGTGTCATCAGCTCTTCAATTATTCATAATAATGTGATTAAGGTAAGAGAGAATCAACTGGGGGTAGAAGAAATTAAGTAGAGATAATACAAAAGGCGTTTCAATGTGGCTTAGGAGTCTGTTTCTTGCTGTATCAAACAGAGCTACCAAGTAAGTAATTTCAAACAACCAAAAGGTGTAAGTAACTCTGTAGCAGCAGAGATGATCGTATTTCCATGCTATGGGCCTTACTCAGCTCTTAACACCTGCTGGAAATGAACAGCCCTTCTTTTTGAGTAATACCAGGCAGCAGCCTATGCCAAGATGCCCGTTTTCAAACTTTCGCTGGAGATTGGGTTTCCTGCTAAAATACAGGCTGCAAGCAAAACTACAGCGCTGAATTTTTTTGAAGCAGAAGGATGTTGTCAGTTTTTAAAAATAACAGAAACAAAACTCACCAACTCAGCAAGCAATTTAAAAGAACATGTAGACATTGTCAAACTGAAATCAGGATAAACTGCAATGTAGGTAACAACTCTCCAGATAATATAAATGACTGCGCTATACACATCACAGAATTGGTTTCAGCTTACTGCTTAGTTCCCTGAAGCAACAGTAGCATAATTAATAAAAAAATTATCTCAGCCTTAAGATCTTAAGGAATTTCACATATATATTATTTGACATATCCTATAATAAACGTCACTTATCAATATTTTTCTCTTACAGAAGACAAAGTAGAAGGAAGATGGAAAAACCACATAGTAAGAAGCCAGATCTCCTCTATCAAGATGAGGTAACCAATGAGTTTGACCTAGCTAGGTCTTCTGACCTGCATTCCTTCACGAAAGCTTTCTTGTTTTCTAGTGTGCAACTGCTTTTTATAAACTTTCCCCAAAAAAATCCTTTTCTATAAATAAATATAAAACATGTTTTATTCTTTTGTTTAAGGCAAAAATCCTTCTCTTGGAAAATTTTTATATGGAAAAAATGGCAAACAACTTCATGCACAAGGCTATGTACCAGAAAGAACATGGCTTTGAAGTCAGACCAGAGAGTGAATCCCAAGCTCTATATGCAATTCACACAAATTCACCTTAGTCTTTGTATTGTCAATGGCAAAACTGGACTAATACTTATCTCACAGGTTCAACAGAATTAAATATAAAAGGTCTAACACACTGCCCAGCGTGGAACATCTACTATGTTGGTTCCAAAACTCAAAACTCATTTTTTTCCATGAAGCATCAAAAACACCAATTCCAAAACTTTCAAGAAAGACTATTACCCACAAGATTTCACTAACCAACTTGATACAAATAGCGTAACTTGCTGAAAGACAGTACAGCTGAACGTAACCATTCAGGGGCTCTGGAAACAGGACTGGTGTGAGCAGTCAATGGGAGAATGTCTCCACAGGACTGACTAGCATAGTGCCTAGACAGTCAACACTCACTATTAATAACACAACACTAACACCTTATTTACGTTTCAGATAAGTAATTCTGCAAATGCTCAAGGACTATATACACCAGCCTAGATATCTAAATGTTTCTATGAATATTAAGAAGCTACTATCAAAGTTATCATTCAATAGGCCTTATTTTGGTAACAATGCTTAGGAGAAAAAAAAGAAAAAAAAACTTCCTCACAAAACATCTCTTTTGTACATTAAAAAAACAGTAGGTTCAACAACAGGTAATACCAGAGATCAATGTCAGTATTTCAAGTCAAACATATTCAGTTTTCAATTTATTAATAATTCTCTCTAGCACAAAAATGTGGACAAGTGGAGAGCAATTTAAGATTAGAGTTGCTATTTATAAATTTTGAATAGTTTTCTAAAAATATAAAGTAGAAGATGACTTAAAATGCAGCCCATGCAGAAATCCTTTATGAAGGGAGGCCAGGAGGAGTCAAGCAGTGTCTCTGGAAGAAACTACAGCTTGAGGAACAACCCTCTCTCTCTAAAGGCTACATTCGTGGAAATGTTGGGGACCAAACGCTTAGTCAAACAGTGATCTCCAAATAATCTCTCTATTATTTCAGGCTTAAATAATCCTGTTAAAGATCACAAAGCTTAGGCAACAGAAAATACGAAAGTTATGCTAAGAACTAATGCATTACTGAGGTAAGTCTAGGGTCTTTATTCATAACAAAATTTGATCAGTTTTTTTTTCTATTTTAATAATTAGAAACAAGTAATTAATTTTTGGACACAGGAGTCATAGTACAGTAACCAAAAATGGTAATTGCTTAAAATAATTTTCTTCACAGGAAAACAAAACCCAGATAGAGTTAAGAAACACCTCTCCAGCCTACTTAAAACAGCTAGACCTGCTTCTTTGGCTTCAACATAATGGATCCTTATAGATTAGGTTCCACCTTCAACTCTTAATTTTAAATTTTTTTCCAATATCCTCATGCAACATTCCTTATAGAAAACAAGAACTAAAGCATAGGTAGAAGGCATCTAAGAAACTTTAACCACCTTCTTCTGAATCTTGCTAATCATGTGTAATATGCCTTTTGAGAGTACCTTTTGTTTTAAGGAAATTAAAAAAAAAAAAAAAAGGGCAGTACGGATGAAGACCATTAACACAACCACAAGTTAGCCTTACCCTCAAAGGATTAAGATCAAGACAGACCCCATGGGACACAGCTCATTTTCATAAAATTGTAGAAAGTAAGAGAGAAATCAAGTTAAATGAGGTATATGCTCAAGTATTTAGGGGTGAAATACACAGATGCCCACAACTTACTTTGAAATTCATCAGAAAAAAATGGATTAACGGATTAGGGTACAGACAGACAGGTGATCAAGATTCACTCTTTCGTATGTTTGAAATTTGTCATAATAGAATTTTTTAAAGGGACGAGGAAATACGAAAGGGATCAACATTTTTAATCCTCTTAAAAGTGACTGACAAAAATAAAACTCTATGAAAAAAAAAAAAGTCTACATCCTTTGAGGCCAGGGATAAAGACTCCAACCTTTAAATAATAAAAAAGGGAGATAAAACTTACATCAGGTTGAAACAATAGACTTTGCTAATTTTACTTTAAAGTAGGAAGTTAAAATAGACAGCAAATACTAACATTGAACCAATTTATTTTTAGAAAAAGAAAAAAAATCTTCTATCATTCCCTTTTCCTTTAACTAACATCCTAAACAGACAAGCAGAAAATACCGTGAGATGCCTAAAGGGGGAAAAAAGGAAAAAAATTATATATAAGTATTAACATCTGAGTTAATCTGGACAGAGTCACATTTTTATTTTTTAATTTAGGAAACGATAAAACCCAAAGATTCTGGAATATATACAAGTAAATATATAAGCTTCTTTAGAAATAATTTTTAGTCTATTATACCCACCCTACAACTTCCCATTAAGCATCCAAAAAAGCTTTGTTTCAATTGAATCCACCTTTTATTGAGCAGCTCCTCTACAACAAGCCTATGGCATATGCTGCAGGGATCATCACTCACACATAGCATGCCTTTCTGATTGTTTTGCAATGCATCTTTGTCAAAGATCCACTAGCTTGAAGGATGCCTGGCTTTTCACCTCTAAAATCAAGAAAAGAGAGGAATATTAAGTTTGGGCATAGATTCTATAGAGGTAAAGAGATGTCCTCCAGTTACTAAAGCAAGAAATAAGGATTTTTTTTTCAAAGTATCCTTTTAAACAATCTAAACAAATTGATAAAGTTACATTTTATTAAAAAATTATTGAAAAAGGGATCTATATTGTTATGCTTTGTGCAATTTGGTGGGAAAAGGAACACTCCCATGGAAAATTTAAATGTACCTGAATTAAATCAATAGCATTAGACTTTTTTTCTAAATGGT